TGAATATTATTAATTTGTCAATGTCATTAGGATATGTCCCCAAAACCCTCAAATTGGCTGTTATTAAGCCTCTCATTAAAAAACACAACTTGATCCTACAGAATTCATTAAATACAGACCAATCTCAAATCTCCCTTTTCTGTCAAAATACTAGAAAAGGCAGTATCCTCTCAGCTATATTCCTTCTTAGAGAGAAATGGTATCGGTGAGGATTTCCAGTAAGGATTTAGACCGTATCATAGTACTGAGACTTCTCTTACCAGAGTCTCAAATGACCTACTCTTATCATCCGATCGTGGTTTTATTTCTCTATTAGTGCTACTGGATCTTAGCACTGTGTTTGACACTATCAACCATGACATTCTTTTGAGTAGACAACAAAATTATGTTGGCATTAGTGGAATTGCATTGGCATGGTTCAAATCTACAGTTATACTGATGATACTCAGCTCTGTTATACTGATGATACTAATTTCTTTGCGGCCTGATAAAGCATATCATTTCGGAAAACTATCAGATATAAAAAACTGGATGTCTAGTAATTTCCTACTGCTAAATTCTGAATAAACAGAGGCTTTAATTATTCGACTAAAACCTCCGCATGTAATAATCTAAAACACTGTCTAACACTTAATGGCTGTTTTCTAGCATGTGTAAAACCGTATTTTTCCATCTTAAAAATATATCTAAATTATGACCAATGCTCTCAATGTCAAATGCAGAAACTTTAATTCATGCGTTCATGACCTTAGATTATTGTAATGCTTTATTGGGCGGATGCTCTGCGCGCTTAATAATTAAACTCCAACTGGTCCAAAATGCAGCAGCTAGAGTTCTTACTAGAACCAGGAAGTACAACCATATTAGCCCGGCTCTGTCAACTCTGCACTGGCTCCCTATTGAACATCGAATACATTTTAAAATCTTGTTAATTACTTAAAGCCCTGAATTAATAAAGCCAGACACACTCTGTCAGTTTAAATCTAGATTAAAGGCCCATCTCTTTAACCTGGCATACACATAATACACTATCGCATTTCTATAATTTAAATTCGTTAAAGGGTAGTTAGGCTGCAAATAATTAGATAACGGTGATTACAATAGATGGTAATCACCGTAGCCATACAGATCCAGTCTGTATCCAGACAAGGATATAACCAGTCCTCTGCACAATCTGAACTGTGTTGCAGCCTGGAATTAAACCACGCCATGCTGATTTCGTCTGGCCAAAGGAGAACTGGTCCCCCGACTGAGCCTGGTTTCTCCCAAGGTTTTTTCTCCATTTCTGTCACCGATGGAGGTTTGGTTCCTTGACACTGTCGCCTTTGGCTTGCTTAGTTGGGGACACTTGACTGATTGCACAGACACTATTGGACGAGAGCTGAACTGGATGATGACATCACTGAATCATCAATGAACTGACTTTAACTGGAAAAATTACTCTTTGTTATTGTCCTATTGCATTATTGATAAACTATTTTCCTGTTTGACACTGTGAAGCTGCTTTGACACAATCAGTATTGTATAAGCGCTATATAAATAAAGGTGACTTGACTTGATTGGACTTTAATATTTCCGAATATTCAGTCAAATGGAGTAAATCTTCTATTCTTTCATTACATCCCAACAGCTTGGATGTGACATCCCAGATACCACATATCCTTCTATGCACCAATCACATCACATATTTAAGCATTAACGTTTCCCCCAGGCTGTCAGATTTGTTTAAACTTAACTTCACTCCATTACTCAAAACAATAAATGATTATCTTCAATGCTGGATGAACTTGCCACTCTCCATTATGGGCAGAATATCAGTAATTAAAATAACTATACTCGTTAAACTAAACTATTTGTTCTCAATGATGCCAACACACACAAAAAAAAAAGTTATAGAAGTTTAAATTTACAGTTAGGAAGTAAAGGTTCTGTTTTGTTGGTAATTGGTTTTATTTGAGCAGTTAAGTTTACTCCTAAGACTAGTGCCCTTGAAATCCTTTATATTGTTGTATTCCTTAGAAACCCCAAGACTCATATAGATATACACAGAGACACTGAAAAGTTTAAACGATAAAACCTAAAAACTATTCCTGCTTGACATACTTGAGTTTGTCCAGTGTGCATTTTGGATCCTCCCATTTTTTAGAGAGAAGCTTGACTCCTGAATCTCCTGGATGATTGTAGCTCAGATCCAGCTCTCTCAAGTGTGAGGGGTTTGAACTCAGCGCTGAAGACACATAACAACAGCCTTTCTCTGTCACCATACAGCCAGACAACCTACAAAAACACAGCAATAGTCCACATGAAATTAGTTTGTTTATTGTGTATATCATATGTTTTATCCTTTTTGTATTGAACTTATCATTTAAAAAAAACAATTATTCATATTTAGTATCATCAGGAAGAAACAAATATTCCCCCAAATCATTAGCCATTATACATCTTGCATTTAATTGCAAAAGTAAATAAGTCATTTGATCTCACACACAGACAATAGTGGCACAATTCTACTCCTGAAATCTTATGTCGACAAAGTAGTGAATGAAAGAATATAAAGATAAGATTTAAAAACAAAACTTCTAACTTAATGTTCTAAAATTAAATAAGAAGCCGACTGCAGATCTCACAGTTGCACTTGTAAACACAACACTGACAGCTTCTTGACCTGGAGGTGAAGATTTCAATCAAAAACTCACTATCCAGTGAGAATCCTCTGCTGCTAGCCCACACGAGGGATTTGTGCCAGAATGACACAGTGATTTATTTTTTTCCAGTTTCAGTTTTTCATTAATGATCAATTAAATTTTTGTTAGCTTATTGAAAAGTTATGTTTCAAACATTTGACACAAATCTACTTTACAGAAAGTGTAGGGATGTTAAACCTGAACACAGAGCAGAGTGTTTGCAGAAAAGGAAACAGAACTCAGATATTGAGACAAAAAAGAGAAAGAAAATGAAAGACACGAGAGCACCGCCCTGGTTTAACATTCCAGTGGTACATTGACTGAAGGGGTGGTCACACTACACTTTTTTGTTCCATCGACTTCCATTCATATGTATGCAAATGTGTCAGACTGGAAATGCAAGCTTCTGCGAAAAGTTTAGCATTTCGCTGCATTCCAGAGTTCAAGCTTGGTGAACTCTAACCTGCGAATTCGTATAATGACCAACAGCAGTTTGATACGTCACAGCATGACCTCATAGCTGAATTAAAAGAACATAAATTTAAAAATGCAGCGCTGCAGGAAAGTGGAGTAGATTATATGTTTTTTACATTTTAGATGTATTATTAGTTATGTGTTGAATTTAAGTTTTTAAAAAAGATGCTGCAGAGCGTGATGTCATATCACGACTGTTGAAGCTTACAAAGAAATTTTGCATGCTCAAAGTCTAGTGTGACCACGGCTTGAGTAACAAATTAGACAGCAGCCAGAGGATCAGATATCAAAAAGGATTATAGGTGATATGTGAATGTTTCTTAGCTAACTTGACCTTACAGCCTATAGACTAGTGTAGACCAGTTCAGTTTCACTGTGTAATCATATGAAAGGGGCGTTGACACATGAACAGGAATGATGGGTTGAAAAATATTTAATAATATTTAAGTTGTATACTGAATTATAGACCGTTCATATTACGGACCCAGTTAAATGTTTTTACATTGTTCACTGCAGTTTCACAATCTCTGATTTTCTCTAGCATTGTGCTGAGATTGGGGATGCATATGCCCCCTATAGATGGCATCTATTAACCGGTGTATATTCACCTAAAATTCACCTCAGTTTTTTTATTGTATTTTTATACTGAATAAAACATTAAAAAATATAACATGTAACAAGGTTCAAAATGACTATTAATTCATGCTAAGATTGAGACATCTCACCATTGGCTGTTGTGCCAGCACATTTGCATACATTTGAATGAATGAAAGAGGGATTTATATAGCTCTTTGTTGTATATTGCTGTACACCAAAAGTGCTTTAAAATCATATGAGGGGGTCTCTCTTCAACCACCACCAGTGTGCAGCATCCACCTGGATGATGCGATGGCAGCCACAGTACAACGGCGCCAGTGCGCTCACCACACACCAGCTACAGGTGGAGAGGAGAGAGGGTGATAGAGCCAATTCAATGGATGGGGATTATTAAGAGGCCATGATTGATAAGGACCAGTGGAGGGAATTTGGCCAGAACACCGGGGTTACACCCCTTCTCTTCACGAGAAGTGCCTTGAGATTTTTAGTTACCAGAGAGAGTCAGGATCTCGGTTTAATGTCTCATCCAAAGGACGGTGCTTTTTACAGTATAATGTCCCTATCACTATATTGGGGTATTAGGACCCACACAAACCACAGAGTAAGCACTCCCTACTGGTTTCACTAGCCCTTCTTTCAGCAGCAACCTAGTTTTCCCAGGAGGTCTTTCCATCCAGGTACTGACCAGGCTCAGCCCTGCTTAGCTTCAGTGGGCAACCAGTCTTGGGCTACAGGGTGATATGGCTTTGGCTGCATTTGCATAGTTTATATAGTGTGGAGGCACTACGTAATCCACAGAGTGTTACATCTCTCTCTGTTAGTAAGTTGCACTGTGTTTGCTCAGTTATAAAAAGTGAATTAGGTTTGGTTACAGACACAAACTTCATGTATAAGTTGCACGAAAGTGCATTTGATGCATTTGCTGTCTGTGACAAGTGGGGCGGCGCCGAGAGCCATGGGAATGGAGCAAGGCCGGTGGAGTAAATGATAATGAGCAGGGGTTAAAGCAAAAAAAAATCCTGAGCCTGAACTTTTTTCTGGGGGTTGCGGGGGCGGACACATACACAGGGTTATTTGGCAAACAAAAAAATAAACTAACTAGTAACGTTTCTGCCATTGCCATTAGTCCTTGACAGGCTCAGACTACAGATTATGGTGGGATATTTGAAACAGCAATACCAAGAAAGTTTACTCACTACAATATGGTGCAAACACATGTAACATTTTCCTGTGTTGGCATAGGTTTAAATGATTTAGGTTACAAATCAAGTGAGTTTTCCCAAATGAACGTTAATTAAGCAACCCAAACTCACCGCATATACAGAGAGAGTTTAGCCCCTTTCACACATACAGTCTTTACTAGTAAATTACCGTTAAGAGATCATGTGTGAACAGGACCTTTTCAAAAATCCCGGTAAATTCGTTCTGGCAATCATATCGTTCTTATGGAGATGGCTTGATTACTCTGAGCTGTTTACAAAGCTCCGCTGCGTTTTTAATTGCTTTTCTATGTAAATATGACGCTAGATGGAAATATTTGAACATTGCGCTTCGCAGCTTTTTCAATGTGTCGCGCTCGAGACCCAGGTTTCTTTCCATTCATCAGCTGCGACTCTGCAATTGGATACTATTATGCGAGTCTCGTGTTTACTAGCCAATCATAAGTTTTTGCTCTTATAATGTTAGTTTGGTTGAGAGTGAAAGCTGTGTTCCTCTCATACATTGGTAGGCGCACCCATGAACTCGAACGTGATATCAACAAGTGTTTTTAAATGTAGGACGACTTATCTTTTTTTTCACGCAGCCAAACGCTGCACGCCTGAGATCCGGCACGGTGCAGGAGAACTTTAAGCCCTGAATGAGCGACACCTGCGCCACTCACCGGTCTCGAGTTCCACAGAGGAGCTCCGGAAGGATAAAAGGAGGAGTGACGACAGTGCAAGACGAGAGAGGACCAGGCCAGGATTTTATGTTGTTGTTTTATTATGTTTTATGCTGCAGTCGTCTGTGAGGGGCTGCTGCTTTTACTTTTGTTTTGTGTTTGTTCATTTGTTTATTAAAGTTTTGTGTTTAAATGTTCGCCGGTTCCCGCCTCCTTCTTCCTGATCTACGAACTTTGTTACATTGGTGCCGAATGTAAGGAAGGAGGGACACGCTGTCAGAGAGCCCTCGCTGCTGAGGGGGATCGCGGTGCTGAGGAGGTCGGGCAGCAGGACAAAGCGGAGACCGCCAGTGGCTGCCTGAGGCAGTGGAACGATGGAAGACGAGGTGGGACCGAGAGCTCACTGCCGTGCTCCTGGGTCGAGGATGGGTGGCTGCCGTCCGAGAGGGAGCGGAGGAGTCTGCGTGCGCTGTTCGCCAGGAGGCCGGAGCCTGCTGCCATCTGCCATGATTGGGGAGGAGCAGGGAACGGGGGACTCGCTGCCAGCTGCCCTCAATAGGAGGAGCCATCGCCGTCCGCCAGGAGGCGGAGGAGCGGTGGGCCGTCCACCAACCGTTGTTACATTGGTGCCGAAACCCGGGAGGAAGGAGGGACACGCTGTCAGAGAGCCCTCGCTGCTGAGGGGGATCGCGGTGCTGAGGAGGTCGGGCAGCAGGACAAAGCGGAGACCGCCAGTGGCTGCCTGAGGCAGTGGAACGATGGAAGACGAGGTGGGACCGAGAGCTCACTGCCGTGCTCCTGGGTCGAGGATGGGTGGCTGCCGTCCGAGAGGGAGCGGAGGAGTCTGCGTGCGCTGTTCGCCAGGAGGCCGGAGCCTGCTGCCATCTGCCATGATTGGGGAGGAGCAGGGAACGGGGGACTTGCTGCCCTCAACAGGAGCCATCGCCGTCCGCCAGGAGGCGGAGGAGCATCAAGCCGTCCACCAAAGATATCCAGTAACATCGCATGGCACCGCGAGTGAGAGCCTCTCAGCTGGTTGAGGACCAAGCGGCACTATGTCCGGGAACCGGATCGAGAATTTTTTTTCTCCTCTCTCGTCTCTTTCTCTTCTCATACTTCCGTCTCCTTTTCTCTCGCCTTGTCTGTCCATACCCCCAGGTGCTGTGGCTGCTGTGACGGGGCCCCCGGGGGGAGTAGAGTGCAGTCTCGTGGTACCCCCTGGCCTGTGAGGGGCAATGGGGGTATGTGACAAGTGGGGCGTGGCCAAAAGCCGTGGGAACGGAGCGAGGCCGGTGGAGTAAATGATAATGAGCGACACCTGCGCCACTCACCGGTCTCGAGTCCCACGGAGGAGCTCCGGAAAGATAAAAGGAGGAGTGACGACAGTGCAAGACGAGAGAGGACCAGGCCTGGATTTTATGTTGTTGTTTTATTATGTTTTATGCGGTAGTCGTCCGTGAGGGGCTGCCGCTTTTACTTTCGTTTTGTGTTCGTTCATTTGTTTATTAAATTTTTGTGTTTATATGTTCTTCCCCGAACTACGAACTTTGTTACACTGTCATTCTGCGCTTGTCAGTTAGTTCAAATATGTAATATTCGCAGAGACAGATTTCTGACCCTTTCTGAATATGTGTAATTGGCTTGTTTATGCACTTAAAATCTGTTTATTTAATCTTAAAGATGACCGAGCAATGCGCTGAAGAGGACATCCATATAAATGTAAAAAAGTGCCTGCAAATTTAGTTTTTGTCTCTTGTTCTGGAATTCCATTGAGAGCAGCAACATTTGTTGACAAAATTCAACGGCCATTTATTTTGGTAACATTTTGTTAATTATTTTATGGAAAACTATTTACCTTAGTATCTCCAGCTGACAGTTTGTACTCTTCAGTCCATCAGCAAGCAGCTTCACTCCAGAATCCTGCAGGACATTGTTACTCAGGTCCAGCTCTCTCAGACAGGAGTTTGAGGATTGTAAAACTGATGACAAACTCTCACAAGACTGAGCAGTGAGATTACAGATGGAAAATCTGAACAAGAAAAACAGTAATTGCATACAGAATAAATCTTAGCAGTGTGATTTTTATTAATTAATTTAATGCAAAAAAAAAAAAAATCAAGTATTTGAAACTCAAACCTCAGAATCTCCAGCTTAGAGTTTGGACTCTTCAGTCCATCAGCAAGCAGCTTCACTGCAGAATCCTGCAGGTCATTGTTACTCAGGTCCAGCTCTCTCAGACAGGTGCTTGATGATTGTAAAACTGATGACAAACTCTCACAAGACTGAGCAGCGAGATTACATGTGGAAAATCTGAACAAGAAAAACAGTAATTGCATACAGAATAAATCTTAGCAGTGTGATTGTTAGTAATTAACTTAATGCAAAAAAATTTTATAAAGTATTTAAACTTAAACCTCAGTATCTCCAGTTTAGAGTTTGGACTCTTCAGTCCATCAGAAAGAAGCTTCATTCCAGAATCCTGCAGGTCATTGTTACTCAGGTCCAGCTCTCTCAGGACAGAGTTTGAGGATTGTAGAGCTGAAGACAAACTTTCACAGTACTGAGCAGTGAGATTACATCCACATAGCCTATGAAGTGAACAAAACAAAGTCATATTGTGAATTTATCAGACAGTTTGTATAGTTTATAATGTGGAGAGCATGTTTGTATTAAAAACAGTGTATTTACACTTTATTGGTAGAACTATAATATGTATACAATAATAAAGCACTTATAAATAATTTCAAAACTATTGGTTTATAGTTCATTAATAGTTTATCAAGTGTACTTAATACATTAATAGGCTATATACAAATAGTTCATTATACATTTTTACTGTAATTAAAGTGTTATTGTTTAATTAGCTCATATGTAAATAACTACATATGCTTTCTTAACAACATATTAACTTATCAATGAAGAACTCACTGTTTGTATATAGTCTATTATTGTATTAACAACAGCTTATAAACTATTAATTAACTACTTGTATATATTATGGATTATTATTATTATATTATTATGGATATATTATTTTTACACATGAAATCGCATTTGGTCTCGTACTGTATCGCGTACCTCGTCAGTGTCGTGCGCTTTGCTTGGCCATTTGTTGGGATAAACAGGAAAGTGTGTTCAAGCGCCAGCAAAACAGTGTAAAGAAATACTCTTTGTGAGAAGCAGTCAATCAGCAGAAGTTAAAAGCAGCTTGTAAGTGTATTTATTTCTTGTCTCAGTGTTTAGCGCAGTTGTCGTTGCTAGGAAACGCTTGTTTTGTTTACTGTGGAGACGTGCTGAAATCGCGTTTGGTCTCGTACTGTATCGCGTACCTCGTCAGTGTCGTGCACTTTGCTTGGCCATTTGTTGTGATAAACAGGAAAGTATGTCCAGCTGAATTCATTTTGAGTTTTGTTAGAGGAATATAAAAAGCTTAGTATACCGCGGCAGCAGTCGCGGCAGCCCTCGTGTGAAGCTCTCCTCGTGTGAAGACCGAAGAGTGTAAAGACCATTGACTCTACCGTTCGACTCCACCGAGCAAGGCACATAAGTATCGCTTCTGAATCATTCTCTTTCCTACTACTTGTTCCCCTTCTGTTTTCTTATATATTGTTGCTCTTTTGTTAGTTTTGACTGCTTTTATTGTCCTCGTTTGTAAGTCGCTTTGGATAAAAGCGTCTGCTAAATGACTAAATGTAAATGTAAATGTAACTTAAGTAAGCACAAATGTCAGGGCATGTCACAACATATCCAAGACCCGAAAAATGTCTCAGGGTCTGAGTTATGTCCTGAGGGTTCATAACTCATCTGTGCATTTGTGCTCAACACTGCAACAAATTGTTCATGAATCAAACTGATCCAGTTCAACTCCCTGACTCAATGATCCAGTCACAGCGGTTGTCAGGTTATCAACACACTGAATCTGAGTAATATGATTCTCAGAGCAGAGGATTTTACTGATGAAGTTAAAATAAATGTATAGTAATAATCAAATTCATAAGGAACGGGAACATGTTTCTAAATTAACATGAAACAGTTAATTGTAACAAACTGTTTAAAAAAAGTCACTTAAGGAAATTTAGTTATTATTTAACTCTCATAATTGGAAAACAGCATTACAAATATCCAGGTTTTCCATGATGGTTGGGAACCCTGATTGTTTTCTCGTCATGTTTTTTTTTTTTTTTTTTGAGTAGGTATTGTCTGCCTTGTGCCCTTGGAGAAAATGCCACTGATACAATCGTACTACAATATAAAAAGGGGAAAATATCTGCTAGCCATAGTTATGAAATGCCTATTCATCCACATATTTGAACATAGTGATTCAGTTAATGTGAATGTCAAACCTCAGGATGTTCAGTCGACAATGTGGACTCCTTAATCCATCATAAAGCAGCTTCACTCCTGAATCCTGCAGGTGATTGTTACTCAGGTCCAGCTCTGTCAGATGAGAGTTTGATGATTGTAGAGCAGAAGACACAGTTTCACAGCATGTTTCATCAAGACCACAGCTGTCAAATCTGCCAAAACAATGTTTAGACAGATTATTTTCTGATGTTCAGTGTTTCTGCAATAACAGGAAAATATTTCACATAGTATTTTGACATTTAATTGTTTAGTGTTTAATTGATGTTTAAAATGTTTAATTGAACAGTAGTCAGTGAAATTACTCACAGGGCTTTCCTGCAGCATCTCACAGCTGGAACGAGTCTTGTGTAGTTTGAAGATGACGTGAACCTCTTTGGGTTGAACTGATCCAGCACCTTCTCTGACATCAGCAGTACTGAGGTCAACACTGCGCACATTGAAGATGAGAGGTCTTTTCCTGGATGTTCATCTGAACTGAGGTAACTCTGGATTTCCTCATATATTGAATGATCTTTGAGCTCAAGTAAGCAGTAAAATAGGTTGACTGATGTTTCATCTGAGATGTCCTCTTTTTGTAATTCTTTAATGTGTTCACATATTTGTGTTATGCTCTCTGTGGTGTCTTGAGTGTGTGTGATCAGGCCTTTGAGCAGTTTCTGACTGGATTCCAGTGAAATTCCCATCAGAAACCGCAGGAACAGGTCCAGATGCCCTCTCTCACTCTGCATTGCTTTATCAGTGGCCCTCTCTGTTAAGTCATGAAATGTGACATTTCTAAATAAGAACTGAAGCTTTTGTCTGGCTGTATTTTGTGAATCTTCAAAGAAAAACATCTTCCTTCTTAAAGATCTCAGCGATCATTCCTGTGAACTCAGTGTCTTTACTCACATCAATACCACATTCTTTCAGATCTTTCTCATAGAACACAATGTTTTCCTTCTTCAGCTGTTCAAACGCTAGCTTGGCTAACTTCAAAATCATCTTTCTATTTAATTTTAAGTGCTCTGTACGTTCTGTTTCTTCTTGTTCATCGCACTTCTGGCTCTTCATATTCAGTTGTATCAGCAGGAAGTGAATGTACATTTCAGTGAGTGTTGTGCTGTGAACAAACCCACACACCGAGGAGGGATCTGATTGGCTGCTGCTGGTCGTGAGGTCACCCAGACAAGAGCTGATGGAAGCAGCTTACCTTTGACCAGACTTGTAAACAGCATATCTACAGATGCTCTTTCCTCAACAGTATCCAGTGTGTCGCTTTTAAAGTTCAGTGGCAGTCGACTCTCATCAAGTCCATCAAATATAAACACAAGCTTACATTCCTTATATAACTTTGATTTCTCCAGGTTCTTCAATTCAGGATAACATTTCAGCAGAAACTCATGGAGATTGACCTTTTTATCTTTAATCACGTTGATCTCTCTGAATGGAAGCAGGAACACACAGTCTATATCCTGATTGGTGTTTCCTTCTGCCCAGTCCAGGATGAACTTGTGCACAGAGACAGTTTTTCCGATGCCAGCGACTCCCTTGGTCAGCACAATCTTCTCCTCATTGTTTTTCCTCAGTTCAGTAAATATATCATTGCATTTGATTGGTTTGTCCTGTGTTTTTTTGTTCTTGAAAGCATCATCAATCTTCAGAATCTCATGTTCATGATTGACATCTTTCATATCTCCCTCTGTGATGAACAGCTCTGTGTAAACAGTCTTGAGATCTGTGTCGTTTTCTTTGTTGCCCTCAAAAATACATTT